TGGATTCCGAACCACCGGAAGTGCGTATAAACACTTCGAATCGAGAGAAATCTCGTTGACAGAGATGCATCTCGGTGAGCTATCAGCTCGTCAGAAGGAGAGCGACCCGTAAAAATCCGAACACACTTTTGTCCGGATTCGAACCTGGATTNTTGTGGTTACTAAGTCCCGCACAAACCAACTGAGCCATAAGCCGCTCCGTGTAACCATCGTAAATCAAACTAACAAATATCGACTCTAGTAACCTTGAATATTTATAAATATCAATTTCTAGTAATCTTGAGTATTTATAAATTACCAATGAGTTTACAATTTTCAAAGATTTTTTTTTTTGACAATTGCAATAAACAATCTCGATGGTTACGAAGGAGAAGTGACAGAACAAGATGCGTACGCCACATTGTGATTAAAAATAAAATTAGATTAAAAGAATATCGATGTATCTGTATGTGAATTCGAAGTTACACGGCGTTACAGAGAGTTAAATAGTTACGCGAGAGTTCAAAGAGTTTTTAAGAACAATATCCTCCCAATGGAGTAAATCTCACATTCTTCGCGTAACGAAGAGACTATAAATTAGTCGGTGTGCCGCAAATAATAATAAGCAATTTGTCAGTGAACTAAATTCGGAGCGGCGCGTGCATAAACGGGTTTGCTCGGTTTTCCCCTTTCGGAAATTACATCACGGCTCTTCTGTTAAACGAATTACCTTTCCGGGATTAAAGCGAAGACGAGCGATCCGTCACGGATGTTATCTGACAAATTCGTCATGCGAAATCCGGCGAATACCCGAACTTACACGTTGACGGATCAAAAAAAAAAATCTCAAGAAAAATCTCTAACGCCGATAATACACGAGACGTGTTATTTAGCGCCGGTTTCCATGTGATGTGTGTTAAGCCAAACGTGATTTTCCCGTCTAACGAGATTATTGTCGTGTGAAACGAGGTAGTCGAGCGGGAAATCCACGCTACTTGCGCTCGAGTACGAGTGACATTATTATACAGCGTTACTCGTTTCGTCGTTTATTTCCGACGAGCTACAATTTCGGAGATACGTTGGTTGGTCTTTGCGAAGAGGTGACGGTCAATTAGAGACGAGAGAAATGAAAATTAACGTAAATGAACGGCTGATGATTCTCGCGCGCGCGCACACGTTTTCCGCGAAATTGCATGAATTCTACTCGGAACTTACTGGGCGCTACGTTACTTCCCTCGGAAACGTATCCGGACGTATATACATATATACATTCCCACGAGAGCGTAAGGCACTTTTGCACAGTGCGAATCATAAGTTTTCCCCACCGGGTCAAGTGGGATAATTGAAATTGGATTACGTGGGCGAGAGAGAGAGGCGTGCGGCGATAGCTCGGCTAGTTATTGTGTGATTATTTTTCGAAATCGATTCCGATGGGAGTAATTTCAATTGTTGTTGTTCCATCGCGACAAAGAGAAGATAAGAGGGGAGGGGAAGAGGAAACGAGAATTTCGATCAAAGTCAATTCCAAAAAAATTTGCACAACGCGGAAAAAAAAAGAAGTTGCTTTAATTGAAGTCGACGTCTACTGCCGACGAAAATAAATAGTTTCGTTCAATTGCGCGCACGATTAATGTAATATCTCGATTCTTAAAGCGACTATCTGTTTGATAATATTGACGTTGGATATATATATTTCAATTAAAATCGATGCTGTTGATTTAACGTCTCATTTTTCTTCCCGCGTGCTTTCTCCGCGACACTCATCGTCGAAAGTTTCGTCGAACAAACAACTTAAATTATTAAACGCATTTTTTCGTTCGCAAAACTGTTTTTCCATTTTGATTGATGTTTTATTATACAACAGAGAGAAGGAGAAACAATTTGGATCAAAGTCAATTCTGATAAAAATTTAGCACAGTAGCTACTCTGTCGTCGCGACAATTAGCGAAAATTTCGTCGAATAAACGATCGAATTATTAAACTTTTCGTCTGCAAAATTATTTTTGTAATTTTATATTTTGATTGTTGTTCTATTGCGAGAAAAAGAAGAAACAATTTCGATCAAAGTCAATTCAAAAAATTCGCAGCAAACAGCTTGCCGCAAAAATTTCGTCGAATAAACAATTTAATGATTGAACGCATTTTTCGTTCGGAAAATTGTTTTTTGCATTTTGATTATTGTTCTATTGTGTACAGAGAGAGAAAGAGAGAGAAACAATTTGGATCGAAATCAATTCCAAGAATGTGCGCAACGATCTACTCCTGTTGCCGCGATGATAATCGACAAAAATTTCGCCGAATAAACAATTTAATTATTAAACGCGTTTTTTTTTTGCAAAAAACGTTTCGTTCATCACATGTGCTTTCTGTCTACATTACATTCTCAGTTTGACCGATATTGATGCGTGGTTTTAAACGAAAACCCACTCGACTTCATCCGGAAGATTATGTAACAGCTGCGCTTTGACAAATGCGCGTCTTACACAAATGGTTATTCCGTTCGCAAACGTGCACGTGTGATGGCTCGTAATATTTCTCGTAAGACAAACTGTACCGACGCGCGAGATAAATTCACGATCATGCGCGATCATTGTAAACGCTCCGTTAACCGTTTTGTTTACGATTTTCTCACTCGCGTGGAATGCGAAATAGATTTCGAATCCCGATTTATAACATTCCGAGGAATTGAGATCGTCGAGAACAATTCGCGCGTTTATCATCCGGGTAAGACCTCGTCGCCGAAGATTTAATCAAAAAAGAGGCGTTTACACGCGCCAAAAAAAAAAAAAAAACAATAGTCGGAAAAAACACGCGAGATGTTTCTCCAACAGAGAGCAATGAGAAAAAAAAACTCACCGTTGAAGAGACAAGAACGGAGAGATGCGAATACGTCGGATATTGCTTCTTCCTCGAAATCCGTTCCTGCACGTCCGACCGCTCTTATGTGAGATCGCAACTTCTCCTTTCGATTCCCTCGTGTCCCCTCGCGACTCCCTCGTAATGGTCGTCGTCGGTGGCGGTGAAAGGGACGATGAAACTTCACAATGCGGGGCGTCATCAGCGCGAGACTTATGAAGGATAAGTTGTTGAGACCTGCGGAAGCCGAGTCCTACTTAGGATTTACACCGGGTTTTCTCTCTCTCTCTCTCTCTCTCTCTCTCTCTCTCTCTCTCTCTCTCTCTCTCTTTCTCTTTCTCTTTTTCTAGAAATGACGCCCGTTTGATTCTTTACAACGAGAGCTCGTACATCTTTCTTTCAGCGAGGGAGCTCGATTATTGATTTCTCGTGCGAGGCAAAAGTTTTATTATTTATTACATCAGAAGTTTTTCATCTACCGAACGGGAAGTCATTCTTTATAACAGGCGCGCGTTAATGCGCGTAAAATTAGGAAGACTATAGCTTTCTTACATCTATGTATGTGTATTCTCTATCGGCGCGTTAAATCGTAATTTACCTTCGTGTACTCTTCTTCAGATTATATAAATTACAACGTCGTTGCAACGTCAGCGATAGGCCGGTTTTGTTTTTTTTTCAAGATCTACGACGCGCGATCGTAATTAAATCCGCGATACGAACACACAATCGAACGCAATCGAACGCAATCGAACTCGCCGTCATGGCTCCCGCGAAATGGCGCGAACTCGACGCGCGCGCCAAAATCGCGCAACACTCGCCATCTGGCGTTGAACGGCCCGAACCGACTGAGCGATGTTACCAACACCGAGTTAACGACCGCGTTCGGCAAAACAGCTATTTCAGTAACAATCGAACGTGATTGGAACGCTCTCACGTTTAGAGACAACAAATCAAGAGTCGAGAGTTGACGAGACAACTTGGTTGTTTTGCTGAACGCGATCATTGGTGAAAAACAAATAATAAATTTTGATTCGCTCAAGAAGAGAGAAAAACTGGTTGATAAATTTAAAATCAAATAAAATCATTGATAATTGAATAAAGTTGCAAATTAAATGAAATCAATGAAATTAAATGAAATTGTTGATCAAGTCAACGTCGAGTGTTGACAACTGAGCAGTTTTTTGCTGAACGCGATCATCATTGATAAAAAATGAATGATAACTCGAAATTTGGATTTGGCAAGAAAAAAACAAGAGAACATGAAGGAAAATTACTGGTTGATAATCTGAAATCCAAATAAAATCGATAATATCGTGTCATTTAATTTCAAGTGATAGTTTAAAGTGTATCACTTCACAACATACAAAATACTTTCAATATATTGTTATATAATCCGTGTGAATAAAAAATTGTTTATCGAAATAAACAAGCCTGGTTACATGTTTCGCATATTCCATTCCATTGTTGCTATTTATTACACGGTGAGAATAATCGTCACCTTTCAAGCGCTCAATAAACAAAAAAAAAAACAATCTTTCGTATATAGCTCAATAGGTTTTATTATCACATTTATACTGCGTCATTTTGTTAATAGAGCCATTACGCTTTGAGAGCGTCAACTTCTCTCAGCGGATACACGGACAGATTTTTCTTGTACTCCGGGATGTTCATGATGTAGTTGGAATCTGTCAATTCTTTTCTCTCAATATGTTGCTGAACATCGGCTGTGAAAGTTAGAGAATATTCCTTCGCCGCCTTCCCCTCTTCCTCGGTATCTGCAATAACGTGCAAAATAATTCATATCTTATTTCTTTTTTTTTTATTTTCTATTTCTTTTCCTATTTTTTTATTTTTTATGTATATGTCCTAGTGAGAAAAAAGATAGTTTTTTTTTCAATTTACTCCTCCTATTTTTTTATGACTTTATATATCGCTCCATGACATTCACTCACATTTATGTGGAAAACCTAACCTAACCTAACCTAACAGAAAGATTAACGCGAAAACGCAAACGCTTGTAAAAGGGGCACTTGCTGGTGTCATAAAATATTTTACCATTTGCCTCGACGTCCACTCTGCTCTTGGGATCCGTTCCCACCACGTGCACGCTCAATTTCCGGAAATTGCCACCGTTTCGGGTGTGCTGCGCGACCCACTGTCTCAGCTCGTCGAGATTTATGTGCTCTATCGCGAGCACTTCTCTCTCGAGTCTGTCGAATTTGTACTGTCGCGTCGTGATCTCCGCCCAGTTCCTGTTAACTTCCTCTTCCAGATCAATATCGGCGCACTGCTTTGTCTTCCTCAGCGCGTCCTTGATATTGTCCAATTCCGTCTCCGAGGTTTTCTCCAGGAAATTGTTGAGCGAATTCAAGAACTCCTCGATTCGTTGATCCACGTGCTCGGTTGTGTACTTGTCCGCCTGAATGTGAATCGTAACAGTATATCCCAATATGCCATTGTAATCTTTGACGGAGCAAGAGACATCATAGCCAAGTTGCTCCTGAGTTCTGAGTTGATTGAACAACGGTTCCTCCATTATCATCTGCAAATGGCAAAGGCGGTTGAAAATATCGCGAGAAGCACTTGTTTCTCGTTATAGCTTTCTGTGTTGAAGCAATTCAAAATTGCAAAACAAACAAACATTTACCATCAACAGGTCGACCAGCACCGACACTTTGATCGACTCGGCCCCGATTTGATAATAATTCATCACTACGGAATTCACATCGGTTACATTGATGTTTTTCACTTTGCAATAGTGCGTGCCCAGAGGTATCTTCATGATTCTCGTCTTTGGCATCGCGTCGAACGGCAGCGATTTGGTGTTCAGCCTTTCGATAAACTCCCGAACATTGCTCAACACGGCGTCCGCCGTCATGTTGCCTTGCACGAGGCACTGGACGTATAGTTGGTCGGTGAAACTCTTGATAAAGCGGTGAAACATTTCGAAATCGACGCGTCGCAGAGCAGCGTGCAAGTCAACGTACGTGTAATACGTGTGCTTAAGTATACTCGCTCTCACGTCCCTATAAAAATATGTTAATCGATAAAAATACGCGTAAAATTTATTTTACAATAGAATCATATTGATTCCTAAAATAATCAGAAGTAAATATTTAATAAAGGACAGTACTGTGCGAGTTTTCCAGCTTTTATGAACGTGTTGTAATACGTCTTGAGCAGATACTCTTTGGCGACTTCGAAAAGCTTGACCAACTCCTCCCTGTCAACGTTCTCATAGTCCGCTATGTATTTTGCAATGATCATTAACACGAGCTGAAATACGAAAAAGAATATTGAAGCGCGTGTCCACAAACTCAACATTTCAAATTGCACTTACCGGCAATTTCTTGTCGAATCCATTAATTTTTATCGTAATACCCTTGTCGCCGTCATTGATCGTGTAATCAAGCCCAGCTGCCGTAGCCGGGTAAAGTTCTTCCGCTGACAACAGTTTCAATATACTGACGTATAACGCCATAATGGCCGCACTGAAACGACAATCGTGTGAAAAACTGTTCGCGTGTGAATGTAACAAACACATAATTTAATAGATTTTATTGTTGCATCCTACATGTTGTTACTTACTTCTCCAGCGTTTCGTAGCCCAGCGCGGAAACAAGATGGAAATTCATGTAACAATCCGGCAAACGGAACTTGGGATCCGGACGATACCAAATCTCGGATATATTGTCGCAGTGTATCATGACGGGGTATCTCGAACAGTCCGCCGGTAACGTTATCAGAGAAAAATCGTCAGTGAGGAACTGATTAGGCGCGGGCAAATGAAAATCGTCGCGTATGAGTATGTTTCTCCAGGTTTCGATACGTTCCTTCGGAATCTCGGTGTCCGTGTACTTGGTCTTGAACCAGGGCTCGGTCTTGTCCAAGCTCTCCTCACTGAACTTGCCGTTCGAGATCATGATATTCACATTGTCCGGCGTCAAGTAGTCCAGACAGTGCTGTATAGCCTCCGGATTGTATTCGAAGTAAAGCTCGCTTCCGGTAATGTACTCACGCGGCGGATAGAAATGCATGCTCTCGCACAAGTCCTCCACGTAATCCGCCGATTCCTCTTCGTTGGCGAATCTAAAAGGACAGATCTCACGTGCAACTCGACAATGTCTGGCAATAATTTTTTTCTTACAAAATTAATTCACTTTTTGTACTACTTTTTCCGTAATTTTTTTTTTTTTAATCAAAAATTACCTTCTTTACCTAAAATCATTCTCTTCCATTTGATGAAGCTCGTCGTAAATTCTTTTCTGCGGACCCTCGCGCTTCACCATATTAACGAAGGAGAATATCGCGTCCAGGACTTCGTCCAAGTGCTCGTATCCTTTGTCCGTTAGATTTATGATGAGTCTCAACAACGAGTACATGGAGTTGTGCTCGAAACCAATCTCGGGATTACCGCTGCATATTTCAAAACCCCACGTCTTCTTACGCAAATAACTAATCAGAGATCCTTTGCCTTCGTGTCCGAGAATCCACGAGATATATCGATACGGTTTACTCTTATAGTAATCCAGTAGCGGAGGCAGTGCCCACGTTAATTGTAACTAAGCGGAAGATTTCATAATTTTACATTTCTTTGCACAATATACAAAGCGGATTACTTATTTACGCAATTTGCAACGTACGTGGCTGCAATCTTTGACTGGTTTAACTCTGTATATTCTTCGAAAAGCCGAAGTATCGAAAGAACTGCTGCCTTTGAAATCGGTAAAATCGTCAGGTACCAACTCGTTGTTCGGCACATCAGTGAAACACGTCGTGACGTACTTTTCCAGGGTATCTAGCGGCAATCTCGCCTGATACAGACGTACATGTCATGATCAATTATTCAATGACAGAAGACGCACATTCATCTTCTGCGTACCTGTATAGCCAACTTCATTCTATGAGCGCTATAATGGCGCTCTCTAAACTTGTGCAGCTCTTCGTACAGCTTGTCCTCGTTCACGTTATCGCGCAACGTCACCAGATTACCCCAAACAAACTTGGTGGCCGGATGACCGTTACGCGCGAAACTGCAGAACAATTGCTCTCTCCTGTTCTCGTCGCGAGGTGAGGCCAACTGAAATTCTACACAAGCAAGACAGATCAAGATAATGCAAGCTCCACAAAAACGGAGCTATTACTCTACTATATACCGCTCTCCACAGCTTCTCGTTCGCGCGTGATGGCGTCTTTCTTCATCAGAGGTTTAATAAAAAATTGAGCAAAACGATCAAGAGCCGGAAGCAGATGCTTCTCCTGAACGTCGAAATAAAACGTTGTGTGCTCACAATCTGTGGAGGCATTGGAATAGCCACCATGTTTGCTAATGAACGCGTCAAAATCGTTTTCCTACGAATTATACAATAATTGGATACATTTTTTTTACGTGATCCAACATATATCTTTTACAATTATCGAAAGTCTCATACTTCTGGATATTTTTCTGATCCCATAAAGACCATATGTTCGAGAAAGTGTGCCATGCCTGGAACCTCTTCTGGATCACTAAAACTGCCTACTCCTACACATAAGCCACAAGCTGCCTAATCAAAAAAAAAACCTATTTACAACCTACAGTCATGTAGTTTAAAGCTGTTTCGTATAAATTCACAGACATCTAACAGTTCAATTTAATTGAAGTTAATGTCATTGCCATAAGACAAACTCTGAAACTGTCCCATACTTTTTTTGCATCTCTCTTGACGCGTTTTGTTCTTGAAGCATTATAATCCTCAGATCTTTCACTATCTGAATCTTCCTCATCGTCATCATAGTCTTCATCATCATCCTCGCTGCTCTCATCATTTTCATCACTTTCATCTTCACTCTCATCTTTTGTTGTAATCAACAACAAAGAATAAATGTTACATCTTCATAATTTATCATTGAAGTGATTTTGTATCTTTATAATTTATCACTAGAGTAATTATTTTTATGAAAAATACAAGTCAGTTAATACATATACATTAAATTTGCTGTTGCAATTCAGAGCTATTAATAATTTCCTTATTTTGTACAAGTTGTTTTATTATATGATTATTTATTATGTACAGTATTTCCCAAATATTATCTTATATATTAAAATAATCAGATCTTCTCACCTTCATCCTGGTCATCTTCATCTTGAGCACATGACTCTTTTGAATGCATATCAGATATTAGCAATGCTGTCATTGCATTTCGCAATCTGATGACTCTAAATTTAACATCAGACACAAAGTGTGAGAATTTAGATAAATTTTGATAGAGTTTTGCAGGTAGTAAATAATATTTTGTACAAAAGTGTGTGTTTACACACACACACACAAAACTCTCTACAATTAAAATATACAGATAAACAACTGTGACTTTGTGTCTAACCTATACTCCTTTTTGTCATTTTCCGATTTCACTGGTGTGTCCAAATATTCGACCTTGAAATTCTCGTTGTCGCTCATCGAGCACTTTGTTTCCGGTATCCCGTCGGACTTGAGATCAGACTGAGCGGAGGAGTGCGATCCGCTCTTGACACCCGCGACGACATCCTGACCCGTTTTCGTTTTCCTTTCCGGCGGATTTTGCGTGTTCTTCGGCATTTTGTTCGACAAAAACACGTGGTTAGTTATGCGTCGTCTGAAGATCGGGTAAAGACGGAATGCACGTACTACTTGCACGGAAATGATGCGTGTCAGGAGTAGCGCGTATCTGTTCACATATCCGTACATCATATGCTTATCTCGTGAATTATCTCGTTATCGAATTTGAAGAATACAAATTGTTTTTAATATCTTGCATATTTTCAAACTGTTTGAGATTGTAATAACAAGATCATTTATTTTCCGATCGGACTTACCGTTCACATTAATGTTTTTAACGCAATCTGATCGATTACAATCGTTCTGTCCGCACAGGAAATAAATATCTTTCGTGAGAAATCTTTCAGAAATTCAGAAAACGACGATTGTACGGAACAGTCGGCGTCCACTTTTATTTTCAGGCGTCCAATCACTCAAATCCAAACAATTTTTGTGTAAATTTTTATATTACATGCGGCCTAACTGGGTCAACTACCTAAATGACAATCATGGTCTCCGTCCCGTTGTGAGGTTAGGGCAGCAGAACAAAAAAAACCCGACGAGAACGTTCAATGTGCAATAAACACAGTGTATATACGTTTTCGAACGTACGAAAACTAATTTCCGAATGTAAACATTTGCATTCGTTCCAAATATCAATTTCTTTTATTCAGAAATTTTTCTATCTGTATCATCAGCTGATCATCTGTTTATATCTTGTCTCGCTTTCCTGACAGTTCCGTTCTTCTGCTTCCGATGGCGCATGTTGTATTACATTCACGTCGAAATATACACCGCGAATCGCATTGATTTTAAAAAGACAAACGTAATAAAACAAACGTTTGATTGTTTGATCGAAAAGGAAAATAAGCAATCGCGATCCTAAATAAACGTTAACGAATATATAACTTTGACTCTGCAAATTTCTTTGAAATAAAACGACAGTAAAACTTAGCAAAACGCGAACAATATTAAAAATATATTCATCTCTTCGCGAGCGCGAGTACAAGTTACAATAACAACGTACTTGCAAAAACATTGAGAATTTTCTGACCTTTATAACAATTTATACAACATATAGTATTGATACGAGATATTTTTCCGTCAAACATTTATTTTACATTGATTATTCGAATATAGAGAGATATCATTTTATATCGCGATCCTCCGAGTTCGTGCGTTTTATCGTCGCGACTGACCGACAAAGAAATAAATTTAATGTTAGCAGAAAATTTACTGGATTATGTAAAACAAGACAGAGAACGAAAATTTAATAAATGTTACAATTAATACGCCTGTGAAAAATAAGCGTTACGTTCAACTCAAGTGCTTTTCCGACTGACGAGTTTTTTTGTTGTTTTGACGCTAGAGAAACCACTCAACCCTTACTGCGCACCTGTGGGCCCGCGACGCTAAGGAAAATCCAAAAGCGCAGAAGCGCGTAGTGGGTGCGTGCGCAGTGAAAAATTCTACTGCGCTACTCACAGCGCAGCGCGTAGCCTCAGATCTCGTCGATCTTTCAAGTGTGACGGACGTGTTGTGCGCGATTCAAAATTTTTTCTTTTTTATTATAATAAGTTCGCACGCAATTTCGTACAGACTACAGAATACATAAGTACAGAATACATAAGTGAATTTCTTCGTAA